ATGATGTATTCAATTATCATACGACTAGCAAATTCGTCGTTTTTGACGTTTTTTATGCAAACATAAATAAATATAAAAAGATAAATCGTTTTTCCAATTTTTGCATCCGCCCTTAGTTAAAGTTTTTAACAAACAAAATACGAAATCTGTTACATAATTGATATTAATTTCTCATATTACATGTTCATCAAACAATCAATTCACAGTAGACCAGGTTTTTTAATAAAGAATTATGTAATTTAATAATTCTTCCAAAAATGCTTTGAATTGAAAAACGATTTAGAACACACATACATATATACTAAATTTACGCCTAGCAAGTGCAAATCAACACTAGAAATGGATTGTTAAGGTCTTTTGCAGTAAAACAAACACAGTCTGTTACACACACATCATAAGTCAAGTACATGTTTGGGGATGGGCATGTCCACGCATGCACGTTACAGTCTTGTAAATTACTAAGCTCTACAAGGAAAAATGGAATACCTATATTCTGAAATAAACTCCTATTGTTTTCAACGAAGATTATTAGGACTTCCTAGAACGTTTGTATAAGAATAAGAATCTTTATTATTCCAATTAAGGGCCCTTAATTTGATGGGCAGCATCACATATATACACACAAAAAAATACAGTATGATTTGTAACAGAAAAAAAAACCAATTCTTTACTTAAGGCCACACCAAAGTAATTTCTTGTTCTTCGGACTCTTTCCTTTGAAAAAGGGTAGCGAGAGAGCGAAATTTTTTCATTTGTTTTTTTTTCGAAATTTGATTTTTGGCAGGCGAGAAAATATTTTACTAGCGAGCGATATTATTTTTGAAATATTTAAAAAAAAAATCTATGAAAATAATTTTAAGCAGGCGAGCTATTAGAAATTTACATAGTTTTGGTGCTTGATATTTTATATATCTCATATCCTAGTTCTTATAAATACCCTACTTTGATTCTCAATTTGTTTTCTGACACCTAGTGTAATCTTTTCACAACATTTCCAGGTATAAAATGGTTAACTTGTAGCAAAACCTACACTTTGTGTAGTCTGATCAAATAAATATGATCCTGCTGAACATGAAAAAGCGCAACAGCTTTGAACAGGCATGCATCCATGTTTAATGTAAGTTATAATTGATGAATAGTATGTTGTTTTAAATGAACGTATGAAAGCATGAATACATGTATAAAGCTTCTATATATTATACAACCATAAATAAAACAACAAGCTGACAATTCATAAAGGACTGTCCTTCAAAAACCACACCAATTAATACCATTCTAATGAACCAGTCAAATTCTATATACTAACTAAATAAAAGGAACATTTCAATATATTATATTTATTATAAGTCATTGCTTTCCTGTAAAATTTAATGGCAATCAAATTTATATATCTATGCATGTGGATATTGCTCTGTGCTGAAGGCTATACCTTGAACTAGTAGCGAACCTCAACAAATTTGGTCTCTGGTGAAAGGTTGTCTCATTGACAATCATACAAATTCTTATTTTTAGAAGATTTTGTAAATGGTAAAGATGGATTAATGTGTTAAATTCAATTACCACATACACATTCTTGTCAAATTCCATGCTTTTAACTAGTTAATTACACCTTATGTAAGAATCCTGGGTTTTGATTGGTTGATAGCCAGTGTATTTGTCACCAATTTACTGTTATCAAATGGATATCGTTCATTTTTTAACGCCGCCGGGGTATATGCAAAAAGGATATGCCTTTTTTACCCTCTCTGCCATGGTATTTGCCAAAAAATACTCTATCCGACTGGACGCTTGTAACGTCACGATCATCAATGCGTTTTTGAACGTTAACATTCGGTGTAATTAAACAGATATAGCATGTTCTTGAGGGGTATTTGCGAAAAATACCAGTCTTGAGAATAAATTTCCCTCGCCTTATACGGCTCGCAAAATTTAACATTCTCTAGACTGGTATTTTTCGCAAATACCCCTCCTTAACGTGCTATATCTGTTCAATACATAATTATTTAGAGGTCAGCTGAAGCCAGCCTCTGGGTGCGGGATTTTTTTGCTGAGTATAAGACCGATTGGTGGCCTTGGGCTGTTTTCTGCTATTTGGTTGGGTTGCTGTCTCTCTCAATTTTATTTTAATATAACTTTGTAATGATTCTAGCAAATATCAATAAAAGATTGAAAAAATTCAAGGAAAAACCTTTATTCTTAAACAGATAAAAAAAGTAAACAATATAATAATTTCGTTTGCGGTGCCATTTCAATTCATGTACCATCAGCTTTGGGATTGGGATTCTCTTTTATTCTTGTGCATGGTATATTGTCATAATTTAAATTTTCAATTCGGTGGCGCCGCTGCTTTGTCATTTGATCTTGATAGGTATACGGTGAATCATTCAAGGGTATTACTACACTGCGTGTGAGTCAAGTAACTCACTTAAGTGATGTTATGAACGTTTGTGCATGTTGTGGTCTTGAACTGAGCACTTCCAACAAATCGGTATAAGAATTGCCCAACTCATATTCTACTGATATGTTTGCCTGCGTTACCACTGTAACTACAAATAGTCCACTCATGTCTTACGTTAAGAATGCTTATCATACTAAATTTGGCAATGATATTGTAACAACAACGTTGTGAATGTTAGATCTAGATCGTTTTTAATGTCAATTTCCGTGTCTGTATGGTGTTACTTTCAAACGTACAACTGATTAAAATTTTTGTTTCATAAATTTAAAGACGGACGCGCGCGGCTCCGTACTGGACGCGGGTTTTAAAAAAAACAGTACTTTTTTTTCTGGTCGACCTTTCACAACACGCGGGGAATCCGACGAACGTGGTATTGATTTGGCGTGGCCTAATTGAAATAAAATATTGATATATTATATATGCATCGAAGTTCTGCGCATCATATTGTGTACATTTTTTGAAAAAAAATTGCGGACGCTGAAAGTTTTATTATATAGCAATCTCAATTTTGTGTTAATATCCTCTTCTCCATATACTAGTATCTCATAGAGAAAGATTTAAAATATAATGTGTATAATTTGACGGTGTGCACCTCAATTTTTATACATATTTGACAGATGTTTTTTTTTCAGCCATATTATAAATAAGGAGAATTCATTTTGAGTTATCAATTTTTCCTACACCTTTCCACCAGGGTTTTTCAAACTATCTTGATTTTATTAAAGTTCAAATAGTTTCACTGAAAATGTGTACCATACATCGTGTACCTATTAAGATAATTTGTGCATTTTGCAGATAGTGAAACCAATATAAACACAGGGCGATGTGGTATGGTTGCCAATGAAACAACTACCAGAGTCCAGATGACGTGGATGTAAACTAAATACAACAACTAAAGGTCACACTAACATGACTAAGGTCTTCAATCCATATCACAGATGATTGCGGATATTTTCCTAATTTCGTAACTACAATCCCTCCCCTTTTCCCGAATGTGACCTACCGAGTATGACTTATTACCGGGTTTGTACTAACATAAGCAACACGACGGGTGCCACATGTTGGCAGGATCTGCTTACCCTACCGGAGCTTCTGAGATCACCCCCAGTTTTTGGTGGGATTCGTGTTGCTCAGTCTTTAGTTTTCTATGTAGTGTTTTGTGTACTACTGTTTAAAAATGAAATTGAGAATGGAAATGGGGAATGTGTCAAAGAGACAACAACCCGACCATAGAGCAGACAATGTTTGTTTGTCTGTTTGTCTGTTGGTCTTTTTTCTTCATAGCCATGGCGTTGTCAGTTTATTTTCGACTTATGAGTTTGAATGTCCCTTTGGTATTTTTTGCCTCTCTTTAACTGTAAGATGCTCGTTTGATATTTTAACTTTTCAGGAATTAAATTATATTTGTCAATATTTTCTTATTTGGTGAAGGCTTAATACATATATAATAGGGGCGGGTTCCACATTATCATGTATGTAGCTCGACATTACATTACACATTCCATTTTGCATTTGGTATAACTACATTAATTTGGTTATTTTACTGATAAAAAATACCATAATTGTTTAGGTTAGAATTTACAAATTTCCATTCAGTTTTCAAAAAAAATTGCTGACTAGAGATGTATTAAGAAAAATGGTTTAAAAACAAATTTAAGTCGTACAACATTTTTCGTCTTTCGAACTAAAACTTGGACATTAACGTCTTCTACTAACAATGTAAATATGGTTAATTTTATCTGACTAAAATTAAAAAAAGGGGTATTGTTTATAACTTAATATCATGTCTGACAATTCAAAATCTAGTCTTGCTAAAAAATAAACAAGTGAAATGCCTTGAAAATTCACATATCAACATATATTGTAAACCTCTTTTTATTGTTGTGCACGCAATAACGATATAACGGTTCAAATTCGCATTTCTCTATAATCAGAATTATGTTGTTTTAGCATTAATTATGCGACATAAATAGTAGACAAAGTTGAAGACGCTGTACACGACCTGAAATTAAGCATGAAACGGAGGAACATTTCAGATTGTAAGAATGGAATTCAATCAGTTCTGTTTCTACGTGTACATGTACTGGTGAAAATAATATCTTATTGGTACGATATTAACATGTACTAGTTTAACTCCAACACATATTTACATGCCTTTCACTAGTTTGGGAATCTTGTTAGTGTTTGTCTTATGTCGTACCTTCATGAGGGTCTGGATGAGGGAGGAGTCCTACATTTTTGTATTGTTTAAATATTTTAGGTCATTTTTCTCTATTCTTTATATTTTTCCCCATTATTCTCTATTCTTTATATTTTTTCCCCATTACTCTCTATATATATTCTTTATATTTTAGCACCTCATTATTCTCTATTCTTTATATTTTTTGCCCATTATTTTCTATTCTGTAAACTTCCCATCCACACCCTCCTTCATGTTTGTTTTAATTTGAAGAATATAATGTCGACGTCACAACCTTGATTAGTCTCTGTTTAATGTATTCACAACTTTATTTTAATAGATATGAGACAATTTAGAGCTTTATATATAAATAAGAAGATGTGGTATGAGTGCCAATGAGACAACTATCCATCATAGTCACAATGTGTAAAAAGTAAACAATTATAGGTCAAAGTACGACCTTCAACACGGAGCCTTGGCTCACACCGAACAGCAAGCTATAAAGGGCCCCAAAAAGACTAGTGTAAAACAATTCAAACATGAAAACCAACGGTCTAATCTATATAAAAACGAGAAACGAGAAACACTTATGAACCACACATACAAACGACAACCACTGAACAACAGGCTCTTGACTTATGACAGGTGCATAAAAATGCAGCGGGTTTAGTCATATTGTTTAGTCATATTGTTTACTTTTAGATGACTTTTGGTTATTTAGTCTTTGTGTTGCTATCTGTTTGACATATATCTAACATCTCAATTTATTCATAAATATTCGTATAAACAATATCGATATCTGGAAGCCGTTTATGTGATTATATTTCTGCATGCAGATTCAATATAATTTATTCGGTATCTATATAAATCATGCTACCAATATCGTTTAGTCAGTATCTATATAAATCATGGTATCAATATCGTTCAGTCTGTATCTATATAAATCATGGTATCAATATCGTTCAGTCTGTATCTATATAAATCATGGTATCAATATCGTTCAGTCGGCATCTATTAAATCATGCTATCAATATCGTTCATATCGTTCAGTCGGTATCGATATAAATCATGCTATCAATATCGTTCGATCGGTTTTGGTTCATAGTCTATATGCGTCTCGAAGTGGAAGGGTTTTTCAGAATAGAGAATAATGAGCCAAAACATAGAGGAATACTTGTATAGAAAAAGGGCAATGAAATAAAGAATTAAAAAAATGGGGTGCTAAAATATAAAGAATATTGACGAATAAGTATTATACATTATATTAAAGAAAAAGAGTGGTAAAGAAAATAAAGAAAAGAGAAAAAAATGTGTGCAAAATTTTAGAAAATGCAGAAACAAGGACCCCCTTTATCCATACTCTCGTCTATATGTACTATGAGCATCACTGGTTACTTATTTATATATATGTTTATTCTTTTTTGTAGTATAATATTATCTTAGAATCTATTCATACAAACAGATTGAATATGACAATGTTATTATCTACAGGCAATAATACTATCTTTTAATCCGTTAATATACTACATGCACTTTGATTTTCACTTTTTTTATATTATCAAGCAGTATACATATCGATCATCAAATCTAGTCCTACGTGCATTTTAAAATAATGTCAATTTGATATCGATCAGCAATATTAACATTATATGTGATAAATTAGAGTCCTATCCATCCCGGATAAAAATAATCAGACATGTCTTCGCTGAAATCCTTTCTATACTCGCTATTATTTTTAGCTATATTCTTATAATAAATGGTTGTACCATTAGCCAACCATGCCGCCCACCAGCCAAATGACCCAACTGTTATTATAGAATGGTTGCATTTAGATAAGACACACATGTCAACTTCCGGGGAATGCATGTGCATACGAACAACGTCACTTCCGACCACATGTTTTTCACGCCATGACATATCTTTCAAATTATGAGCAGTGTATGCTAAAAACAATACCTGCTTGAATTTCGCCCGGAAGTAGTTCATTGATTTATTGATATATTCTGCACTAGCTGTCTGATAGCCGTACGCGATTTTACCTTTGTCTAAAAAATCCCCTCTTCGTATGTGAATTCCAACTACTTGCAGTTTATCCCTAGGTACATATGAATGATTTGAAGTCCATTCAATAATAGCGTCTTTCAAAACTTGTAGGCATTTAGTTTCAAATTCTTTTTTGAAGTTATATTGTGCTCGAATAGCTTGTTCGACATGACTGAAATATTTCCATGATTGTAATAGAGACACGTGTTTGACATTGAGATTTGCGGGAACATTGGCAGCATTCTCGTCATACAGACAAGGCTCACTTTCGCCCCATGGTTGTGCATATTCACAAATCGAGTTATTTTGTACTTTAAGCGCAAATAAATTGTCAAACGAATAGGTTATTTCATCGAATTTATGAATAACAAATTCCATGTCATTTCGTTTTGCTATTCCAAAGAGTGACGCGTATTGAAACATGATATTTCCAAGTCTTCCTGTCCAGTCCGCACACAGGTGACCTCTGATGTGAGGGACAATTTCTGTTTGAGTTGATGATAAAAGTATACAGACTCCAAAAGTACAGATTGTCACAACAACCGACATTCCTATAAAAAAGATTAAAACATAAATCAATGAAAGAAATGGATTGATGTTTATCTGCAAGTGGCAAATAGGATATGGATTTTAGGTTGAGAACATCTTAATATGATATGAATATGGAACCTGCAAGGAACTAAAACGACACACGGAATCGGATATTTACCGAACCTGTTCAAATCACAACATTCCACAGAAAGACATGTCGCCCTTTTCAGACTTTTCTTTTGACTCCTACTCGACTAGTCTTAGCACTTAGCCCTAAATGCCGCATGCTAAGCGGAGAAGAGTATTAAGACGCCTATATGGGTTTCGTAACGTTTGTGAAGACTTAGTAAGGCTGTTCGAAGCATTTAATGAGTAGTTCCGAGATAAAAATTTCTTCAGGTCTCAATTCAGTGTAAACCCAAGATCACACAATTGCGTAGACTACTGTAAAGTGTAAGGACCATTTGCGTAAACCCGGAACTCACGCATGTAATCTGTTCATTAAAAAAGTAACATGGTTGAGACAGAGAATATATATAAATGAGTAGACGTTTACACTATATCATACACGTATGTATGTTTAAGCTATTATCTTTATGGCTGTTCTGGATGGTACATAGTTACTAAACGCAAATGACCATCAAAAAAGGAAAATTTGAAATTCAATTTGAATGCAAGATAATGACCACATTAAATCATGTCATATTTATTTGAATGAGCAGACTTCAACAACCGAAGACAGAATTTCTGAATTAAGATATAACATGTATAAGTGTCATGGTTGTAGAATGTCGAGTCAAAATAAACTTTATTCGAACCCTTCGTTTTTATGACACAGCTGAGTGCTTACAAAACATATACGGAAAAACAGGTAAAAAATAACAAAAGTTAAATCATCTTAATCATTATCACGAACGATTTAATGATACATTCATATGTCGGGTAAATATTTCCTTTCAAACGCAATTTAACTAGTCTGCGATATAAGCTATACACTTGGGTGTAATTATAGCGTGATGATCCCAGTAATACAAAACTTATAGAAAAAAGGCTAATGCCTTTGATTTGATAACTGGATTAAAAAAAAAATCATTTCTAGAAAAAAAATCAGTTATTTCAATTTCTTATTTTTTGCAAATCTAGTCAAATCATATACATAGTTCATTGTTACCTCATTTTTCGGATACTGTAAAATCTAACTCGTAGTTGTTACCCTTTTGCCTTTTGCTTTTTTGCCATTCAAACTTAAAAATAACTCCAGGTTGATTATCATAAGTACATATGACGGATTATACCTTTTTAATTTTTTAGCAATTTTGTTTTTGTTTTCTATACTCATTTTCATATTCAAAACTTTCTGAAACGTAGTCGTTTTCATTTTCGATATTTATTTTCCCATTCGCCATTTGGATTCTAACATTTATTAATTAAAACATTTATCATTTTAGCTTTGCAATTGTGAACTTTCCAATTTTATCTCAAAGTTAGTAGAGCATTTATGAGCTTGTGTGTGCTATCATAAATTCCTTGCTAGAGGGTTGCTGCTAACAAGGGAGTTATTGAACTGAAGGTTCAAATGTGTAAAGTTGAGGTCATCCCTTCGAAATATTCACAGACACCATCACCAGTTGGTTGACCGTTATAGAATATCTGTGCCACTAATGACCACCGATCTGTTCAAATTATCGTAACTACACTCATGACCTTTTTCGATTGTGACTTCACAGAAAACTACTCATCAACGTATATGTACTTACCATGAAAAACATGACGGATTGCACTAGTGTATTAGAACCTGCTTACCCTTCCAGAGCACCTTAGATGAAACCCAGGTATGGTGTTATTCGTTTTGATCAGTCTTTAGTAATCTATGTAGTGTTTTGTGAACTGGTTTGATTTTTCGTCGTTTATCGTTTCTACCATGGCGTTGTCAGTTTCTCTCGATTTGTGGGTTTTTAATGTTCCCGAGGTATCTTTCATCTCTTCTTTAGTCCCTTTTTCAAGATTTTTATTGTGATATTCATTGTGACCAATGAAATTTCGATTTTGATATTGAAATTGTCATTCTGGCGTTTGTCATTTTCATTTCCATCTTAAAAAAAGATACTTTAATATTGATTTCCTTCTCAAAGTTCATTTTGACATTGGCCTTTTCGATTCTGATAATGGAAATGTTTTTTTAGATGTTCATCTTTTCGTTTCCTTTTCCAAACGATTTGCATGTTGACATAAGCCATTTCGATTCTGACATTTAAAATTTTCACTTCACGCCAATAAAATATGACGAGTGCATTTCACAATTAATTTAAATACACAGATTATATCTAAACAATTAAAAGGTCCGAGCCCTTGTGCGCATGGCGATACTTCATTTATATGTACTAACATCGGTGGGTCTTACTCGTACACTACAAATACTCATATAGTCTGATCCAGCTCAGTTGCATTACTGTTTAAGATTGTGTTATAAGGAACAAAGTATTGTATGAGCCCAGTTTTATGAAAAGTTTAAAAATAGTTATCTTTTTGTTTATAAAATAGAAAAGTTTTGATTTCGTAATTTTGTTATTTTGACATCACTGTAAATAACTACGTTTAAATTAGTGTCATTCCAATTTTCATCATCAGTTGATTTATATAATATGGTTGTTAAAAACACATCTAATTTTTGTTTGCATTGACACATGACAGAATCAAATTGTCGACTTTGTCAAGAGAAGAATATTATTCTTAGATAAATGTTGTAGGAAGAGTAAGAACAACACACAACAAGGAAACGGTTTAGATGTAAGAAAAATGCACGATAGTAGATTTTGTCTTTTCAATCCAAAAAGGTAAAACAAATATAATGATTTACTAATGTTTAAATCTATATTCCTAGGACATTTAAAAAAAAAAATTAAAATGGCATTTAACAGTTTTAATTTCAAAATAATGAAGTAACCTAAAATATGAGATAAAAAATATGCATTAGAGTCGCTTATCGAGAACAAATATAAAGTAGTCGCTTGTTATTTGAATCTTAATATTTGTTATATTCATAGTCCAATGTAACTCTATTCTTCAAACAAATCCACTCTCATAATTTAGCAACGTTGTTCATGATTGTACACATATATGTTTCTTCTATTATATATGTCTTTGTATCGTTTTAAAAATATCATAAAATATCAGGGGATAAAAAGCGTATCAGCCATCTTGTCCTCTACATCTGGGATCAAATAGCAAATGTGCCATAAAACTTAATATAATCGCATATTAATTTATCTATAATGATATTATATACTGTATATTCAATTTCTTTATCTAAATTATTCAAAATAAAATTATTAAATATGTGTGTTTGATATATAAAAAAAGAATAGAAAGAAGATGATTGATAAAAGTTCAACAGCATCCCAGCGTTACCACATGAAAAAAGGATCGATGAGGGTCAGTGTACAAAGTACGATCTTCAACAATAGGCAGCTGTTTGTCTATAGAACATACATGCCAAGCTGTTACTCCTCCTAGTATATACAAAAGAGATACCACACAACAATGGGAATTAAAAAAAAAATCACAAGTCGATGAAAAACCAACCAGACTTTGTCAACAAAAGAAAAACGACAAAAAGACAAACAACAGTCTACATAACACTACAAAAAAAACCACAAAGACTGAACAACACGAAACAACGCACAAAAAACTGGGTGCGATCTCAGGTGATCCGGCGGGAAAGCATATCTTACTCAACAGGTGACTACAGTTGGGTATATCCCAAGAGATCCACTGATGATGATTGCAATTTGGATGACAAACATGTGTTTCTGTTGTTTCGTTGTTTTCCTCTTACATTTAATGCATTTCCCTCGGGTTTAGTTTGTTATCCGGATTAGTTTTTGCTTAATCGAATTATGACTATTGAACAGCGATATACTACTGTTGCCTTTATTTGAGATGCTCAATTATTCAATGACCTTAAAACTATTGCGTCTGATTTCAGTATTCATAGAAAGCCTGTTTACATAAAACCTCTTTGTAGAATAAGTCATCGTCCTGAAAATGCATGAAAAAATAGTCACTAGACTAAACACAAGCAACAAATAACCAATCCTTCATTCCGTATATATGCAAAGGTATTTTGTGTCATTTCATTCATAGTATATATTTGATAGACAGATGACTTACCAAGAAACAGGTGGATTTCTGTTTGTTTTAGCATTGTGTAGCAGCGTGGTTTTCTAAACAATATGTGTCATGATTGTAAATGTACAATGTAGTAATTATGTTTCCAACTTTCACATATTTCCTTTAACTTCTTCGTTTCTTATCTCTTAAATAGTCTATATGTATGAAATTGAATTGATAAAGACATTGAAAGTACAGTATATAATCCCTTTGTAGATATATTAATACGCGCTTATATTAAGTTTTATCGCCCATTTGATATTTGATCCCGGATGTGGAGGAAAGAATGGCTGACACGCTTTTGAGCTCCTGATATTTTATGATATTCAATCTCATTTTATGCAGTTTGTTTTCATGCACATGTATACATATTTGTAAAGAAAGATTCGCCTATTCGTCACAATACGCTTTGTAGCTATCAACATTGTTTTAAATCAGTACTAAGCCTGTCAAAGTGCTTTTTACCGCCGGCTATTGAAAATATACAGATAAAGATATACGAGTACTTCCCGGGTACTCGAACACCTCATTTTAGATTTTACTGACTGACTCTTAGTAACATTTGAATAATTTTCTTTTAATATTACCCAGTGCACTGTTCATGTCCCCCTGCAAATGAGTCTACACGTCATATCAACAAACTTACAACTGTAACGTACCAAAATCAACATAGACATTTCAATACGAGTCTTGTTGAAATGAGAAGACGTAGTAATAAAGTCAATTCCAAACATGGTGTTTATACTGGTCAAAGTTACGAAAAATCAATGTATAGACAATGCAGAACCATCAGAGATCAATGTAGAACTGAATAAAAACAAGGCTATGTCCAATAAATCAGAAGCTTCAGGAGAAAAATTACTGTTGTACCCGAGTATACATGTGGTAACTTGGTATAAAATAAAGAATTCCGAGTAATCACATAAAACGTTCTGACCTAAATATCAATCAGACAAATACCACTGATAAATCAGGATCGATTGTCTAGGAATCTCTAAACGCAATAAATGGTTGAAAAAGATCTAAGTACTCAAATTATACAATTCTATTTCTAGAGTGTGGTTTAATGGAATCCAGAAGCATATATCAAACGATGTTGTTTACTTACAACTATTTGACATTTTAGATATTCTAGATCGTAATAAGGACTTTGTTAATTTAAATGCAAAATAAGAGAGTGCTGTCAATGCTTCCTTGACAACAATAAATGCAAAGAAACAAAGAAATGTTGTGATTCAGTAACTATTACATGTTGCTCTGACTAACCAATAGCAAACGATGAATATAAATGCATTGATCATGAAAAAGATGAAAACTCAATATGTCTAACATGTCTATTATTGCGTGAAACTGACACAAAGTCTGTACAATGTGACATATGCTCTAGTTGGGTTCACTATGAGTGTGAACATATCACTCTAGAATAAATCGATCAACTAGAAGATTAGCTCAATCCAAAATATCTGTATATGTTGTGAAAAACTCAGAAATGAATATAAAAAATCTAAATCAGAAATCACATACTCTGGAACTTGCTACCCATATAAACTCTGAAATCAACGATAGTGCAATTTATCGTCAAGTGTCAATACAAACCCTGACTCATGGTATCATCACTACTAGTATTACTGACAAGACACATGGTGATAAATGTATGCTATCTCCAACTGCACAAGTAACAAGAAGTATCCTTCCGACTATGAATAAAAGTCTTGCTAAATCAAAAGATAAAAATCCCGTGAGGGTGCAGTTACAAAATCAGACAAGCCCGACTGACTGTACCACACAAAATTCTAACTAAATACTAGAAGAGGAAATCAACCACTTAAAAACAAAATTAGCCTCTAGTGAAAAACTTCTGAAGAATAAAGACAGCAAATAATGTAAACCTGACTCAGAAAAGAACAATTTAGATTTGAAGTATCAGTGTTGTTACTTCGTTGTGAAGAACTATAAAGGTACAATAAACATATAATACCTCTTTTTGTACTATCAATGAATGTATAAAACTCTGTTTACAACTTCCAGTATGAATACTGTTCTGTGACATTATTATACTGAAACCGAACAATATTTTTAAAATACAAAAAAGATACATTATTTAGGTATATTTTCACTACTTCAAAGTAATAGTACTACAACAGTTCACGTGCAAAAGTGACTTTTTACATGGATTTAGATATTGTTCCTGCGAAAGCTGCAATAAATATTAACATTATGTGTGCTAAATTAGAATCCTATCCATCCCGGATAAAAATAATCAGTCATATCTGCACTAAAATCGTTTCTAAAAGAACTATTATGTTTAGCTACATTCTTATAATAGATAGCTGTACCATTAGCCAACCATGCCGCCCACCAGCCAAATGATCCAACTGTCATTATAGAATGGTTGCATTTAGATAAAACACACATGTCAACTTCAGGAGAAACCGGGCGCATACGAACAACGTCACTTCCGACCACATATTTTTCACGCCATAACAAATCTTTCCAATAGTAAGCAGTGTACGCTAAAAATAATACATGTTTGAATTTTGCTCTGAAGTAGCTCATTGATTTATTAATATATTCTGCACTAGCCGTCTGATAGCCGTAAGCTATTTTACCCTCGTCCAAATAATCCCCTCTTCGTACATGAACTCCAACAACTTGGAGTTTATCAACAGGTATATTTGTATGATTTGAATTCCATTCTATTATTGCGTCTTTTAACATTTTATGACATTTCGTTTCAACTTCATGTTTGAATGTGAATTGTGCTCTAATAGCTTGCTCGACATGACTGAAATATTTCCACGATTGCAATGAGGACACGTGTTTGACATTGCGATTTGCGGGAACATTTGAAGCATCCTCGTCATACAAACAGGGTTCACTTTCTCCCCATGTTTGCGCGTGTTCGCAAATTGAGTTATTTTTTTAATTTAAGCGCGAACAAATTGTCAAAGACAGAGGTTATTTCATCGTCTTCATGGATAGCCAACACCATGTCATTTCGTTTTGCTATTCCAAAGAGTGACGCATATTGAAACATGATATTGCCTAACCTTCCTGTCCAGTCTGGACACAGGTGGCCTCTCATATTGGGAACAATTTGTGTTTGAGTTGATGATAAAAGTACAGAAATTCCCAAAGTACAGATTGTTACAACCACTGACATTCCTATAAAAAGATGAAAGAATCAGTCATTGAAAAGCTTAGAACGAATCGTTTTGGACTTATGTTAAGACAAGGTTAAGCTGTAGTTTAAGAAGAATGAGATAATTTAAATCCGTTTTTAAGATTTTTCCAGTCTCAATTCAATATAAATTCCTACTGCGTATTTTACGGACCATATGCGAATACTATGACATCAGATTTTTAAAATTAAAATGACAAAAGTTCCTAACATATGAGGCCAAATTGGAGTTATTGTTGCCAATCAGGAACAAAAGTTGGATGTCGCCAAATACTTGAATATTTGTATTTTTCTAACATATCTATAGTACAACATAACCACTTTTCTCATACAAATACAGACTAATAGGCACATATATAATCTTGATTTAACAACAGCGTTGTTGTTCATGTGTGTACAAATATATCTTCAATTATTTATTCTTTTTTGTAGTATTTTATCAACGCTAAAACAATGTAAAAAGAAAATTATTTGTTGATAAGATGTATTTGTTATATAAAAATTAAGAAATAGAAGACTCGTGACAAACTTCTATTAAGGATGTTCGTAACTTTGTTTCAAAATAACAAGCTTTTTATAAAACTGTTATAAAAGAGAGGCGAAAAATAGAAAAGGGATATTCAAACTCATACGTCGAATATAAACTGACACCGCTATGGCTTAAAAAGAAAAAGACAAACAGACAAACAATAGTACACAAAACACAACATAGAAAACTATAGACTGAGCAACACGAACCCCATCAAAAACTGGGGATGATATCAGGTGCTCCGGAAGGGTAAGCAGACCCTGCTTCACATGTGACACCCGTCGTGTTGCTCATGTTAGTACAAACCCGGTAATAAGTTTAATTTTGTAGGTCAGATTCGAGGAAAAGGGGACGGAATTGTAGTTACGACATTTGGAACATATCCGCTATCATCTGTCAAACGGATATTCCATAACGGTCAACCAACTCGTGATGGCGTCCGAAAAATATACGAAGGAATGATTTCAACTTCACCACTTGGAATTCTTGGTTATAAATTGATAGTTTATACGAACATATCATAAATAACAGAACGGAAAAAGCAGATTTGAATGAAAGGTACATGTCCTTTTTTTGAGATATAAACCATTGAAAATTTGTTAGGAAATGAATCTCTCCAGACTGTTCATACATTTAACATTGGTACCTTTTTTCTTTCAAAAACAACGAAAAAAATAACATGGATTTTTGTAAGATTTTGAAAATAGCTTTTTAAACTATATGTATGAAAAATATGAAACGAAAAGTAGGGGTTAGCGGGCATTTTTATAATGGCACCACATGTATAAAAACAGAGGATTCCGAATATCTGAAAAAAAAATCCAAAACAATACTAGCATTCATCCTTAACATCCAAAAGATCCCCAAATATATAAAAAGGAATTAGATATCTGCAAAGCTGTAGTCTATAAAAGAGAAACAGAGGACACCAAAGAGATAATACAAAATCAGAAGTCGAAGAAAACCCGACAGTACCATTTGGGTGATCTCAAGTGCCCATAGAAGGTTAAGCAGATCCTTGTCAAGATGTGCCAACTCTCGTTGTCCACTGACAGTCTATGTGTACTGCCCATCCCCAAAACTTTGCAGATAGAAAGTTTTGGATTTATTTTTAAGGATGTACTTAGGTGAAATTAAAAATAAAAAAAAATCTAGAATTTAAAATTGATACTATAAGTCAGAAGAGCATAAGTGAAGGGCATACGATACAGTTTTGATCCCACGGTTAATTTTTGACGAAAGTTTGCGTACAAGCTATTTTTTACTTTGTCAATTCAAATATGAAATAAAAAATATACCTTCATGTGCTAATTGTAGAGATAAATAGGGTCTACATTTTGGACATTTACTGGAAATTTCGGTTTCTTGGAAATTTCTATCCTTTGGAAAGACATACCTAATTTTTTTGTTTTAAATGATAAACGCAAGCGGATTTTTGTAAAAACATTTGGAATATCTTCTCTACATTAGTTTGCTTTGAATTTGTGTAATAACTCTTGGAAATACTTCATTTTTATCACATTTTCCTGGTTTTAGTAAAAAAAAAACCCGGCATTTCATGCTGTATATTTATCTAATTTAAAAAAAATTCATCGGTGACTTTTTCATAAAAATGTACACAAATAATCTTCACACATAATCAAGTCAAATGTCATTTTTAAAAAGAGGGTCCATGAACTCGTTTTCAAGTTAAATAAGTCTGAATGATAAAATCAGTCGAAAAATGCATCTTTTCCAAATATGTCACAGTTTGACGTCGCGAAAAAAAAAACAGTTTACGTAGCGACGTCATTACCTCCCCTGTAACTGTACCGTATGCCCTTGAGGATGTTCGCTCCACTTGATTTTGAGTTCTTGCCAGGTATTCGGAATCCTCTGGTTTTATCTGTATAGGGGCATTAACAAATTTTGCCTGCTAACCCCTACTTTTCTTTTCATAATTTTATCACATATAGTTTAAAAAGCCATATTTGAAAATCTCATAAAATCCTTGTTATTTTTTCAAAGTTTTTGAAAAAAAGGTGCCAATGTTAAATGTATAGAAAATCTAGAGAGAATCATTTCCCGCCAAATTTATAAAGGCTTAAATCTCGAAAACAAGCACACGGACCCTTCTTTTTTTTCTATTTTTTTAGTTCCTTTATTCAAAATCTAGCAATTTATAATAGTATTTTAAAAAGCTAGTTATTTTGAAACAGAGTATCAAACATCCTTAAGGAACAAAATAAGCTAAAAATATTGATAGGTAATGGAGCTCCTTTTCGAAATATTTAATTTTAATAAAAAATTGCGGGAAAAGGCTGACTGGACTTTTATCTTATATTTGCATTGGTATTATGATGGTCTCAAATCGAAAGAATATGCATAAAATTTATGCTACTGAACGCTAAACAAGCAACAAAAAATCAACCAACCTCATCATAGTTGTTAATCAATCCTTCCTTGCATATGCATGCACAACGGACTGTTTCATTTAATGAAAACATAGGTTTATTGTGTTTTCATTCTTGTCATATATTGGCAGATTACTTACCAAGAAAAAGGTGGATTTCCGTTTGTGTAAGCATTTTGTAGCAACGTGTTTTCCTAACCAATATGTTGCATGTACACGAAAGTAATTTTTGTTTCCAATTTTCACATATTTCCTCCTTAGACCTTCATTTCTTATCTCTTAACTAGTCAATGCGAAATTGAATTGATAAAGGACATTGAATTTACATTACATAATCTCATTGTCTGAATATCTATAAGAATAGTATGTTTAGTTTTAGGGCACCTGTTACGATCCGAAAAATAAGAATACCAAAATTCAACAAACCGAATTTTATATTCATTTCACTACAAACCAGTAAAAGTCTGAAATGGCCTATTCTTGTACTCGACTGTACTGATTTTTTACTCGACCAGTCTGAATTGGTCTGAATTTTACTCGACATTACCCGACCCCAGCCTTAACCATACTCGACCGTACTGATCTGTACTTGACCCTTATCTTAGCCATTGAAAATAGTCTGAAATATTACTCGACCAGTCTGAAACAGTCTTAACCCATTCTCGACCTGTACTTGACCAATTTTTTCAGTCTAAACAATACTCGACCAAAGGTCTGAACAATACTCGACCAGTCTGAACCATACTTGACCAAAAAACCTATACTTTTTTTTTAATTTCAGCTGTTAAAATTAATTTCTTTTTTTCTGACATGACAACAGCCACAATAAATTTAAAATAAAGATATATATAAAAACATATTTTTACATCCTTACATGATTCTCAGATTGATCAAATAGAGATAGTTAAATTAAATTATCTTATATAATAATTTAATTATATTAATTTTAAAGTTTTAGAGTTTTGTTAAAAAAAAAATTTTCTTTTAACTAAAAACCACACCTTTACTGAGGGTAATAAAACCTTATTAAGTTGCTTCTTATTTGGCATGTGTTTTTTTGTTTTTTTTTAACTTAATTTTCCTAAATTCCTAAAGAAAAACTATATAGGTTTCATGGTTACATACAATAGTTATATAATTATCTTTTTAATGAGGTAACAACAGCCAAAAAATCTCTGAAATTGTTTAACCTTATATTAGAAATATATCTATTCTTATTATAATTTGGGATATATTATATATAATATATATCAAAAAGGGATAAAAAAATTAAAGAAATAGATAAAATTGTTCTTCTAATTAGTGGTAAAGTATAAAGTAATACCTCCTGCTTGGGGCAAACTCATTAAAAAGATCACACCTGGTCAGAGAGTATTAATTTCTAATTAGCATTCATTAAAAATTGCAACATCCTGTAAAACTTAAATCGCAAGGCCTTTTGAATTCACTAGATAAGTAATATACGAGTTTAAGAAAAACAGGGCTTTCTTTTTACCTGTAAAACACACATGTACTGAGGTAATTAAACCTATTTAAAGTGCTTCTTGTATGCCATGTCTTTAATTTTGACAAAAGTTATTAAAATTTAATTGAAATAAATTTTTTCTGCAACTTTGGAACACATTTCCTTTTTTAAATGGTTATCAAGGATTGCTATGGAAGTTCTATTATCATGATTATATTAAATTCTTGGTTTTACAAAACAAAGGTGTAATTTTTAAAATTTATTAAGTTGCTTTATATACTATTTAAATATATTTTAATAAACAAAATGTTCACTGCATTATTAACTAAACTCAACTGACACCATAAATCTATACAAGGCTTAAGTAAATGGTGCAAATTGTCCAGTAACCATAAAATATATCTGAAACATTCAAAAAAAATTTGAATAACATTGAAAATATTAGTCACAATTCAGTTTTGAGATTATTTGATCAGCTTGTTTTATTTTTATTTTAAAGGTGATATATATATGTAAGT